AGGGAAAGACATTTCATCTGAAAAAAGAAAACTTCAAAAGGAAGAAATATGTTCACTGTGGCCCAAACTATTTTAGGACTGTGCTCTTCCTACAGACTTTCTTGATGGGTTTCCATTTTTCTCAACTACTCTGTGCATGCAGTGTCTGCAAAGCTCAGTTCTTGCCCCTTCCCAATTTCCAACCGCTCAACCACATCTCAGAGCTCTTCTTGGCCCAGCTTGTTCCCTCCTTGGTCTCTGCTCTCCGAAGAGATTTCTGTGTCAGTCAACTTGGTTATTCAGCAAGGAAAGGTCTTAAGCAAAATGGGAACCAGAAAACCCCACAGGAGGTCCCACAACCTTCTTGCACATTCCATTGCAAATCCATCCACTCAGTAAATCACTGTGCCAGTCTACAGCATTAACCTCCCTGAGAGAAAGCTCAAAGCTTTTGAGGAATTGAAATGGCCAGACTGTACACAAACCATAGAATTTACCCATATGAGAATATAAGAATTCTTTCATTAAAGACATTTTCCTTTTATGGCAGTTTAGCAGCAGACATTCTCCTCTGCCAAATGCATTTTCTTCAGAAATTTTTAAGCCTCAGCTTGGGGGAGAATACCTTCTTTTGCAAAATCTCCCCTCCTAATCCTCCATCAGCGTACATATGAGAAACAAGAACAAGCACACATTACCAAATACATTTTCTTCAATGTGTTTCTAGTTCTTCCCATTTTGATGACTCTGCCGTGCTGCTACCAGTTACCATAAACGAAAATTTGGGATACCTACCTGCGAGGCATAAGTTTGTGCTGGACTTCTCCCTAACGAGCAAAGGGGTCAGATAAATACAGACTGCACCTGACTTTTTATGGCATCAGGGCAGTCACAAGAATGGTGAAAATAGAAGCATGCGGATTTACCTGGAGAACCTGCTGCTAACAACTCTGTTCTGCTGACAACAAAGGTACGAGACAGGGACAAGGGAACTAGAAGAGGGAGAGAAAAAGGATGAGATCACGACCAGAAAGGCGGCAGCTATCCACACTTGACAGGGGAAGGAGCCAGCTCACACACTGAAGAACTAAAACCAAAAGTGCAAATCAACTGTGAAAAAGTAAAGGGTTAAAACAAAACCAAAAACAAAAGAGACAATTAAACAATTTAAGGAATAAACCAAAAAACAAGCCGAAGGAATTACAGTGAAGTGAACAATTTTCACTTGACAATCCAGCACAGTCCATCAAGATACACGCAGTTTTAAACTAGTTCAAAAGGGGCAGTGGTGCACACTCCAGTCTGGAAGGCAACGAGTTAAAACAAGCCAGAAAGCTTTCACGGGTGCTGTTCCTTATGGGAGTCAGACAAAAAGAGAAATAAAACCAAAAGGACACTTCATAATTCTTCAATTTTTCAGGAAAACGTCAAGCGAGGTTGTGATTCTCCAAGCTCATCCCTGTCAGGATGGGTACCATACTGCTCATCGTTACTGCAAATCCCTCGCCGGCTGCAGTTCAAGACAAAACCTTCACTCTGTTGTTGAGGGTTTTTTTGGGTTTAGTGGGGGTATTTTGTGGGGTTTTTTTTAATGCTTTACTCTCCTGTTACTGACTTTACATCCCAGGTGGGAGAGCAGGCACATGAAGTCTAATGAGGACGCACAGAAGAGCAGGAGTTTTCTCTTGTTCTGCAATGACTTACACTTTCAGCTAGCTTTCCTGTCTACACAAAGCAACGGGAATTATTTTGGATGAGCTTATCCTAACAGAAATCTCAGGATGCTGCAAGGCATCATAAAACAAATTCTCTAAAGCTGGAGGGAAAGCCAGCAAAATAAGGGCTTTGCACTGGTAAAAGCCAACCAGTCAAAGGTAAACAAATCCAAGGTTGGGTGAGATTACGTTAAAATACTGCATATCCTTAAGTTTGACATAACAAAATCCAAGATGGATTTCAGTGCACACAAAGAGGAGATCATTTGACCTCACAGGACTTGGGGCAACTGGCATGGTTGTGGGGAGGGTTAGCGACACCAAAAAAACCTCCCCATGAAAGCATTCAATCTGAACAATGCTGGAAAAACAGAGATGCCGCAAGTGGTTTCCAAGTGTAGGACTTGTAGGAGAAGTGACCATGCCTAACCCAGCTCTGTGCCTGCCCCATACTGCAAAAGCTGAGCTGCGAAGCTGAGGGTATGATGCAGCGGTACACATGTGTGTCAATTCCTCATGAACACTGCTGCTATCGCTCAGATAAAATTCACTCAGTGCTCTGCACACTTTCAAATCTGTCAAGCCTCAAAAGGTATAAGCTAGCCTGATCAAATTAAACTGCACATCATTAAGGAAGAATTAGTCTTGCCTGTAAAAGTGGGTTCACACGTCCAAGAGAACTGCTGTCGCCTGTAGAGTTTATTAAGGCTATACTCATAAAATCATTTTCATTCCAACACCATTCACTAACGTACATACACATAGGTACACATATGTAAAGTGAGTGCTTATGCGTGTACAATTAAAACAAGGTGCCTCTCAAGTGGAACATAAACCTTGCTGCGACAGGAGGACCTGATTTCTGCATGAGAAATGTCTCTCCCTGAAGCCGAGCAAGTGGCTTTGGGTCAGCAGACGGCCAACACCAGCACCAGCGCCCCAGCTCTCCCCAGCGGGGCTATGGGTTTCCAAGTTGAGGTTGAGATCTTAGTAGTGACACTGCTGACACCAAAATATATCACCCAATGCTGAAATACAGCACTGGAGCCAACTCTTGGTGGATTATAAGACAATCTCCCCCAACCTGCGCCTGGCAGGTGGTGGCTTGTGTGGCTACCGCTTGTGTGCTGGGAATTGGCTCACACCTTGGTGGGAACTGGCTCACACCTCGGCCTCAGACACCAGCTCTCCTCTCCTCCCTTGCCGATTTGTTGGTTACGTTTCCACACAAGCTGACAGGGACAATCGCTTTTCTTGCACCTCTGCCCTTCTTTTCCTCAAGACGGCTTTAGGAACAAGTCTGGAAGAGCAAACCATCCCCAAACTAACCGGGTGTTTGTACTTTGCACCGCTAGATGTCCCTCTGGCGCTAATTATTTATTCCCATTAATTCGAGCCCTGTTACCCCTACCATGAGCAAAACTACAAAGCTGTCCTCCAGTACCGAATACATCACTCACTAAGGCTCGCATCCTCCAGGAGCTGGCAAACGGCTTCCAGCCGCTGGGTTTCTGAGTCGGTGCCGCCAAGGGCACAGGCCCCTCCCAGGGATGCTGTGCCAGGTGGGCAGTTTCGCTGGCAAGGAGTTATCCTTTACATCAGCCCCATGGACATGGCGGGGGGACGCCCTGCACAGCCTCCTCCCGCCGCACGCACAGGACGGGCAGGCTTGTGCAGGAGCACATTCCAGAAGCAGAAGGTAAGAGGACATACCTGGCGATGCTGTGAGGGCCATCACCCCATAGTAGGAAAAAGCACCAGCTTCAAACTTCATCCCCTCTTTCCCAGCCTCCACTTCCACTTTCCCCTGTTAAGGAAAATGAGAGAGAGCTGCAATTAAAAGGGACCGTAGGTCTCAAGGCACAAGACCAGACTTGAGCCCTGAAAGCTAGTTTTGCCTGATGTTCCCAAGCAGTGTCATGGTCCCCGCAGTTTGTAACGGTGCCTGAACAGGGACAGACCCTGGAGGGCAACACACTCTTGTGCCCTGAGCTATCCTGGTCTTTGGTGGCCTGTCACCAGCATAAGTCCCTGCAGAGGAGCAGGATCACCACAGCACTTTGGGGTGGTACTATTGCCCTGCTCTAACTGCTGCCAGGCTGCTTTCCTTCAATGCAGGGAAAAAAATCCTCCACCAGTATCATAACACACTTGTACGTAGCACAGTCATCTGGGGGCTTGAGACACCTAGACACTTTGGGTGACAGCTCTCATCCGCATGAAGAATCCCCTCTAACACAAACATAGCAAAGTAAGATGGGAGACAACACGTGAGGAGGCTGTCTGCCTTCACCGATGAGACTCCCACAGAAATAAAGACCTTATTCCTGAAGAAGTAGTCTCGGGGCTACTTTGGTTTTCTTGGTTTCTAGCAGTTTTACATATTCCACCATGCTTAACTTAAGATCCTGCTCTTTTGCAGGGTACTGCCTAGAAGAACCCTCAGTGCTTCCCAAGCCACACAAAACCAGACTGCCACGCAAGTGCACCCATTTCTGATGTGTGTTTAACATCACATCCGACAAAGGACTCTAGAACAGAACCCACCAAATCAAACATAGCTGTAAACGGCCCAGTTACTTTGGTATACAAGTAGCCAAAAATAATTGGCTTCTTAGTGGGGCCTGGTTTTCACATCCATCCATCCTTACTGGTACTGCACTGAGAGTTACAGCGCACCATTGCAGACAGAAGAAATCTCATGCAGCTTTCAGGCTGAACCACACTACGGTTGGGATTTCAGGCAAACAACGTAATTACCTGCAATGCTTTCCCTCTGGCTAGACTGGAAAGGGCAAGAAGACTGCCCGTCCCATGTGTACTAAGTAGACCGAATATCAACTGGACACAATCGGGTCAAAATGAGTCCAAAAGTTAGGTTTTATTTCTATGTTTTTATTTCATTAAGCACCATTTAAAATAAATAATCATGCCTTTAACTTTATAATACCATACTGGAGCAGAAAAACGTGAAAATGAACTCAACCTGCATGAGCCCCGATACCAAGTCAGCGCGTCTCACTGTCCCAGATGAGAAAAACCACAAAATCTACCTAGCAGGAAGACAGTGCCGAGCTCACAAATCCACTTTCCTGCTATCACAAGCAACAACTTCACATAATCCTTTTTAAAACCAATTTCACTCCACAACACAAATAAGTAGCTTCTTTGTTCATTACAAGCCTTCCAAAAGGTACGATTTCATCACCCAGGCAAAGACTGGTTACAAACAGAGCTCTCAACCTACTCAGTGCTATTTTTTTTTACCAGCCAAGACCAGGTCTCCAAAATACATTCACACCCAGGCTTTGATCTTCACATACAGTCAGTCTGGAGTTCGTAGCTAAACACAAACTCGTAACTAGTAGTAGGAGTTGAGTTTCAGTTCCAAGACCGTTGTTCTATCAGCACACGCAGCATCTCCAGCCTTCCCAGTGGTGGCCATATGAAGACCAGGCATGTTTGGCATAGTCACAGCGGCTGAAAAGCCATTAAGAATTCCCCATGCACACTATTAGATGTGTTCTGCCCTGTTTAAATGCATGCACGTGTGGTTTCTGATTCTCCACTATTTAATATTCTAACAGAAATTTTGAAAAAAACAATGACAAAACCAAATCTCAAACTGCTACAGAAGAACTTCCCATTAGCTAAGAGCAGAGCTGTTGTAAATGGGTGACATTCCAGCTAAAACAGTAACTCTACAGAGATTAAATTGGTGAACTTAATGCACAGAATATACATTTAATTGTGTTCTGGCACATGTTTCCTGTAAAGGTATTCTTGGTCTCTCGACATGACAGAATAAGTCCAAGTCCATTTAAGTAACAAAAGCAGAGTATTTATCCCCTCTTGATCCTTGCAGCACCAACCTTGTTACCATTTTTATAGTATGTACCTACTGCAAAACTCACTTTTCCAAATGCATTATAGAGCCAGCACATTGTGTTAGCTAAATATTTATTGATTGAAAAATAGCTCAGAAAGAACTGATTGTTCTTTTGTATTGCTCATGTCCTCCACTTACATCTTTGCAGCATGACCTCATTCAGGAGCATTATCTAGCCTCTGGAATATTTCAGATTGCAACAATTCAGCACATAAGAAAGAGCAATTAAAGAGCTACCAGTGGTCCCTTGGAAAAAACAATCCTTTTTTAAAAGAGAATTACACTGAATCCACAATATCATATTCCAGTGCTTTCTTAATTGTTTATCACTGACAGTGTTCAAACCCTCCTCTCTTTTTTTTATTTAAGGCCTTGTCAAGGAAGATTTCAAGCCCTGTCTTACAACTTTAGCTATGACGCTTGTGTTGTTATAACCAAAGATGATTTCAGTTATGCGGGATAGAAACATAAGTACCTTTCAAGCAAAATCTCTCTTAAAGGACTGTTCTTGCTCAAACGGTGCTAGATGGAAGCTAAGTTTCTGTATAAAGCCATTCAAGCGTTCCTGTCAAGTAACAAAACCTAGGAGATAGCAGCAGTGGAAGCAATCCTGTACAGAACAAGTAATAAAAACAGTCCTTCCACACCACATGGGGCTCCAACCTAAAAAGCACCCAAAAGCAGCAATCTCAGGGTAGGGTGAGTGCTTGGACAGCAGGGTGCCCAGGAACCGCAGGGACTGGGGCAGGAGGTGGCAGCAGTTCAGTAGATGGCGCAATGCCCCCGGTGAAACACACACTTCTCACAACACCAAAGATACAAACTTAAAAATTGCACAGAAAAATGGCATCTCTCTAAACTGTCAAACTCCCAATGCCTCCTTTTGCAAAAGGGAAAAATGCATTAGAGAAAGCATCCTGGCCAAACTCCTGTGACATGCCATTTTTTGCACCCCTCTTTTCCAAGCAATGCCAGCTGTACGCAGGGATTCCTTTGCATTGCCTATCCTAGGGATACTTAAAGCCTAAGTAACATTCAACAGATGATTGGAAGTGGGAAGTGCTGTCTGCCCTTCACAACTGGTTTAACTGAGCCTGAAAGCAGCTGAGTGAGCTCTTCAAAGCTGGCAAGGTCATAAAGGAGGCAGGAGCAGTTCCCAGGAGCTGTAGCTCCATTCCCATATCACAGAATCACAGAATTTTCCGAGTTGGAAGGGACCTCTAGAGAACACCTAGTCCAACTCCCCTGCTAAAGCAGGATTGCCCAGAGCACGTTACTCAGGACTGCATCCAGGCAGGCTTTGAAAATCTCCAGAGTAGGGGACTCCACAACCTCCCTGGGCAAAGATGTTTGAAAGACAGCAAACTGGAAGAGGTATAGAGAAGGATATGTCAGGAGATGCAGGATTTTGCATATATCTATATAATCACGTCTGACCTGTAAAATGAGAACAAAGTAGTCGACGGGCTTGTTTCGCTGGTAGAGGTAGTGTTCTGGGGCTTTCTTGTTCTTCTCATCATATTTCAGCTCCTGGATGACGTTGGGATGTTTTAGCAGCCTGAGAAGGATCTTCTCTGACATCTGGGATGGACCAAAGGCTTCTACTTCTATAACACAAGATACAACTTGGCATTACACTTCATATGCCTGGCAAGAAGTTAGCAATACTTGTTAATAAGCATTTGCCTATAAAAGACACACAGATGCAGAGAGATCCATTATGGAATTGCAGGCTTCCTGTCTTTTGAGATTGTTAGATTTATAAGGGGAGGGGAAAACAACAGGAATGCCCCAAATTTCATTACTGAAGTATTTTTCAAAACAACCAAAAAACATGTCTTCATCTGAAAGGGAAAAGAAAAAGGCAGTCTTGCCCTCATGAGAGTTCAGAGTCAGAGTTGTACAGGCTCACTGGAGAGTTGTATAAGTGGAAGAACTTTACAATCAGGGCAGAGAACCTTTGAATTTGTTTTTTCTTTCCTCAAAAGGTATTGAAGTTACTGAATTTATTGCACTTTAAAAAAAAAAAATCTAAAATCACTGTTTGGGGACTAGAAACTTGCTCTAGATAGATGCTCTACATAAATCAAAGACACAATTGCGGTTGCCACGGTTCACGTGGGAAGAGTTACTCAAAGTGAGAGACAGTGCAGGTCAGTTCAAACCATGTGGGATTAATGCCTGACACACAGAACACATCCCCTATCCACTTGCTCTTCAGTGTTCCAAACAGGAGCTGTTTGAAGTGGAAAAGCTCATCCTCGTGTGGGAGAGTTAAGCCAGGGACGTCGAGATTTACACATGCAAATTGATAAGCTTTCCTAACACCTCGTTTCAGAACAGGACCCAGTACCTTTCATCTGCTAAAGATACTATTCTCAGTTTAGAACAGAGAAACCAAAACTGTAGCTTTCATCTTATTTAGCAGTGGCTTCACAGCCAGACATGGATTTAAGCTACACAATCCTTTCATCCACAAAACAAGTAGAGAAGCAGCACTGTAAGACTATGTCTGTTGAGCAGGTGTTTAGGGAACTCCAAGTCTTGTACCACTACATGACCAATGCCTTGCTTGCTGTTAAATCCGCATCTTCCTGTTGAACTGCTTCCTTTCACCAAAGACATGCTCACGTGCACATGAGCCGTAGAAGTCCAAGCCTTTTAAGGAATTACTGCCCCTCAGCTGAGATGTGATAACCGATCACGTACACGTTTCGTTTAAGTCACAGAGGCAAAATAAAGCATGAAGGCGGACTAGAAGCATCTAGGCAGGCAGTTACTGCATCTTAGAGGAGGGGAAGTACTAATTTCCAACTGGAGCTGGCAAACTTGAGACAAAACAAATTTATCATTTCCAACCCATGAATACATGTTGAACATAGCAGTGAAAGACGCCCGTCTGAAAGGCCTGCATGTGAGAAGTCTTTATATGTCAAAGAGAGACAGCATGAGCAATAGGAAGATATGTTTTCCACAAGCTCTCCTGTTAACAGGTCTCATCTCTGAGGTGAAGGGACCAACGTTACGACGAAAGGCAGTATCAGCTGCAAGAAACCATTCAAGGCCCTGGCCTCTCTGCCAGACTGCCCACCCAAGGGCTAAAACATCAAGGTGTTCTGGGATGGAGACAACTGTCCTCTGAAACCTGAAGTCATCAACGGAGGTCACACAAGCCAGCCAGAAATCCATTTTTAAAAGTACAGTTCAACTGCCTGTGCAGTCTGCATTAAATGTGTCGGGAGAGTTTTTCACTTGGAGTCAAAAAGTCTCATGGAACAGGTTTAGACCTTCCTGCAAAAAGTCCAGCATCTCTTTCTGGAGAAGGCGCCAGAGTGCAATTACAGTCAGCTGGCCAGTGGTATCGAGTCCTCTGTGGTTTGTTCCCTGAGCTCTTCCTAATGGGGTGTACTTGCTAGTCGTTAATCTGACGGACTCTAGACATGCAGTGCGGCACTTGGCATTCATCCTTACCTTTCAGACCAATTTAAAGTTACTGGTCCACCCCTGGTAAATGTCTCAGAGGGTTCATGCCGACACTGAACACAGGAGAGGAGAGAATTTAAAAAGAAAAACACAACAGTGGTATTATTTGTCACCCCACAATCCAGCCTCCCTTCCCACCTGCACTGTCCCACCCACCTCACCGGCCTTTGCTGACAAACTGCCTCCGAGGCTCTGGCACGATCGCAAAAAAAGCTAACCCGCACTTGCCTGTTGCCAGGAACCGGTGCATTGCCAGGAGAAGCTGCGGTGATATTTTAACCTTCATCTCGCTGTCTGTCTGCTTGAAGGCAGAGAAGTCCTGCTTCCTGTCCCGATGAGCTACCTTCTTTTTCGTCTTGTTATCAGCTGGGGAAGGGAGGGTGGGAAAAGAAAGGAAGGAAGCGATTTCTGTTAGAACGGGGTCCAACACGAACCGCGCGGGATGGAGTCAGCCAGGACGGCCACCCGGAGCACAGGGTGCAGACAGACCCCTCTGCAGCACACGCGAAGCTCTGCTCATCGGCACGCAGCACAAACCAGAAACAACCAGGGAGCTGTGCTGCGGGCTCATCCCACTGTGAGCCCCTCTCCTGCAGACCCAGGCACTCACCATCTCTGCCACTTCACCAGGGGGAAAGTCTCTGCTTGCAAACACCTAATTGCAGCGGCTCTGCTTATTACACATAAGGTGCGTGCGCATTTCTAGGTGGAGAGGAGGAGTCCTGCTCAGTGTTGCTAACGATCAAAAAGTATTGTTCTACAAGAATATCTGTGACAATTACTTTTTCCATATACATTCCTTAGAAAATCCCCAGCAAGTACATAGACTAAATATACAATGATGTTTCTTAGGCTGTACCATGGCTTCACTGACAGCTCTAGCCAAATCTGCATGTCTTTGGTCCAAGTAGCTCCCAATGTCTAGCATTTGCAGTTTCTTTTGTCCTGTACAAACTTCAGCAAAGGCTGGTAAGGTCTACAGCCTGGAGGTGAGAATATCTGGCCTCTTTACAAGCGCTGAAGCCAGAATGAAGTACAGAGTAGCTTCAGGAGTTCAGATATGGGAATTCACCTGCTAGTGATCCTGGACTCCTGTCCTTTATTCAGCTAAATACTTGTCACTTGGTTCGTCTGTGTCTCAAAACAGGTTCTGTGGTGGAGAATCCCCATTTGTGAAAGACAACGTGAAAGATGGACTTGCAGAGCCACAAACAACCCAGCTATCATCATCCACCCACTGAGCTAACCTGCCAAAATGTCTAGGAAACCAGGCAAGTGGACAGCTAGAGGCATGTTGGGACACAGTATACATCAATTCCAGGGAGGTCTCTGCTCAGTTGGCAGGGTCTTGGCTCTTCTCTGCTGACACAGCGTGTATGGTGGCATTGGCTAGAAGCAGCAGAATGCTGTCAGACAGCTCTGAGCCCCACCGTATATTGCAGGAAACCCAGTTACTGTGAGCCCCTCAGTCTTACGGCACGGCTCAGGTTCCAGGGCCTTAGTGGGGCAAGATACTGAAAACACTACAGCTACTTGTCTATCAATCAGACCCCTTGTCATTGGTTTAAAATGACTGGACTTTTGAGGGACCACAGGTAGTTCTGGTACATCGATTCACTGCAGAGAATTCGGGCAAGCACACAAAGAGGTGCAGGTGAAGCTAACGCTCTGAAACCTCACACATACTCCCAGTTAGCTATTGCCAGATTTGGGATTTTGCATGAAAAGATGATTAAAGTGATGTACCACAGCAAGAAAGCCACTGAGATCTGCGGTCCTGCAGGTGTCCAAATATATGCTACAGACTACAGAAGGCTAAGAGCAGTTGAGTTTGGGGCTTGGAAATGCACAATACTGGTAATTAACAGATTTCTAGGAAGATTTTCCCAAGTTACCTGGCTTTTTAGGTATGAATACATGTAGATCCTCAACTTCCCATAGACAAGCATCCACGATAGGACCATCGCAGACTCAACAGGAATACTGCACTGACAGTAACCTACCTACTCTAGATATCTAAAGCTTATTCTGTGAGCAGTGCAAATCAGAAAATCAGAGATGCTTGTTCCCAGGACATGGAGAAGAACAATGACGACCCATGCCCTTTTTCTTTGTTGAAACTAGAAGCCTCTTACACTAGTAGTACTTTATCCAGGACCTGGACTACATCAGGGACTGCAGTTTCTCTTCCAAAAGCAGGAATAGAAACCACCCAAGGGAGTGGTTACAGACTGAAAACATTCCCTGCCTTAGGAATATAGTCTGAGACAGACCTTATCTGTACTTGTAGTTAAAGGAAAGATGGATACCAAAGCAATAGAAAGTGAATAGGAGAAAAGTCCCCCAGAAGCTCTCACTAGGTCCTACCTCTTGTAAGAAGTAAGAAGAACAGAAACTGCTTTTTCTGAAAAGCTCAGAGAATCCTACTTCCCGCCCCCCCGCCCCCCCCCC